TGGACTAGGGCAAATACTTTGTGCAAGCGACTCTTTTCGAGCTTTTAAAAGCTTGATCTACTCCAGTTCCTTAGTCTTTTTAAGAAGCTCCATTTCTTCGAATGAATGGAGTGTATCTTCAGTAACCATAGGAACGTACATTTGAGCGTGGGCCACTTTAGGTTTGTTGATTTAGTGTGGAGTTTGTTGGGGTTGATCCTTGTTGTCATCACTGCCTTGTATTATGGTATCATCCTTTGTTGGATCTTCCTTCTTAGCCAAAGTTTCGTTGGTGTCACTTATTGAATCGTCATCTTAATCAGAAAACCATCTATTTACTTTTGGGGAAGAATCAGCAAAATGATTTTCTTCTGAGCTTGCGCTATTAGGGTTTTCTTGGACAGGAATATCTTCCTGATCATCATCTAACTCCTTTGTCTTTGAATTTTGGGAGGAATGAGGTGAAGTTGGGACTTCTTGCTGAAAATCTTGCATGTGAATATCAGTAATGGAACCTTTATTGTAATCCTTCGTTGAGGTAGGATGGATTGATGGAGTGTTGCTGCTATGTAGTATTTCATAGTGAATTGGAGATTCAGGAACTTGAATTGGTTGATCCTGCGAAGTGAAGTGTTAGTCACTAATGAGAATATTTAAAGGAAATTTAAGGTTTCCTTTGGTTGAAGGTTATTACCTTTGTTCCCTCCGCCCCAGGGCTCGAATTGTCGCTTTCGATTTGCTCCAAGACATGGGCCACATTCAAGGCAAAACTTTATGTCTTTTTCTTTGGTTTAGGGGGAAGGATTTCGATTGTACAAGTTTCCTGTAAAGGAGAACCTGCACTAGAAGACTTCGAATTATTTTTCTTCTTAGGCTCCTTTGAAGTATCTTTGGAAGATGTTGTATCAGCCTTTTCTGTAGCAGTGGTCGAATCATCATTGGTATGTTTTCTTTTCTTGGGAGTGAGAGGTGGTTTCCCACTATCCTACAACAAAGTAAAATGTAAACAAGTTAGTACATAAATCGAAAGATAAAACAGGTAAAAGAGCGACAAAATTTACCTTGTTTACTTTGGATGTTTTTTTTAGCTTCCTCAGAGGCATTGATTATCGTAGGTTGAGGTTGTGGGGTTGCTTTCTTAGACCCGATAGACGTGGTAGGCTTCACCGTCTTGGTTTGTTTCCTTTCAACAGCTGCAAAATAATTGGAAGGTAAGAATCGTTTCGAGAAGAAATGCATTCGAAGCAGCCAAGAAGTCCTTGGTTTCCACACCTTCACTTTCTGGAGTGTCCATTCTGACATGTTTTAAATCCAAGTGAAGGAAGCCTTTGAAACTGTACAAAGTGTGCTTGGTTGCAACTTCTTGTTTTTCGGGTTTTAGAGTATCTTGTTTCATGACTTTGAAATCCCCCTTCACGCTTAACCAGTTAGGATAAGGTGGATACCAAGCTAAAGCAAAGTCAGTTGTAGGCAATCTGGGGAATTTTGGAGGCTCTAATTGAAAAGCCAAGTCACATCTATCCTCAGGTTTTACACTCAAAGGAATGCTCAAACGTGGGAGTTTTGCTGTAAACTTTTCTTTTAAAATCAAAGATGCATCTTGAATGGTTCGACCAAGATCAGTAGGATTGTAGACAGTTTCAAAGTACCTTTGGAATGCCTGGATTTCGTTGATATGTCGATGCGTACCTTTCTTCGTCTTGTCTTGCACAGAGGCAGAAGCTTTGGTTATATGGTTGTTAAGGTCAGTAACACCAACCATATTAGAGACATAATATTCTTTCCACCAGCTTTTGAAGTCTCGAGTACAGAAAGTCGAAGGTTTGAATGGGACAAGATTGAGGTGGAGAAAGCCTGTAAACTTGCTGATCATTTTCTTTGCTTCGAAAGTGGTGAAATTCATTCCTTTATGACAGACGTCACTTTTGTGGTGATACAATGGTTCAGGATGGCAGAGTCCAAATTATCTTGCAACAAAATTGGGTTGGTAAGTAAGCAAAATGTTCTGAGTTTTCTTGGGCATAATCCTAGTAACAAGGAGTCTAGGGATCAAGAAAGCTTCCCAAATATGAAGGGATTCTGTTTGATGTTCAGTTGAAAGGCCAGTGAGAGGTCTTGTGAACCATTATGGGCCATGGGTTCTTTGAGCAAATGGTGCCATTGAAGAAGTAAATTTGTACCTCTTCGCAAACATCATCAGGTTCCTAGAGAAGCATTCTTGCAAGTTTTTCCCTCCATCATCAGGGGTTAAATGAACCAGTCTAGTTACTTCGACAATCCTGTTCTGGATTTCGAGATCAGATTCATCAATTGGGTTTATATTCAAAAGGGAAGGTTCGAAGGTGGCGTTGATCCACAGTTGAAGTAACCAATATGGACCAGCCAGTAAAATGTTGGTTTTTGTTTCAAAGTTTTTTAATCTTGTGGAAGCCTCCCCAAGGCTCTCATATAGTCCAGCAAGAATTAGTTCGCTCAAACAAACATTTCGACCATCATGGAGTTGGTTAGCAAGGGTTAAAAATCTTCTGGCAACTTGCAGAGATTTGCAGCATAAGACACATTGAGAAATCCATAAAGCAAGAAAAGCTATATGTTCCTGATCACTAACTTCGTTTGTTGATCCTAAGTAGTGATCAATATAATTGTTGTAAGTGGGAGAAGCATTGTTGAAGTCAATGGAGTCATCAGCATCCAAGGTAGCATCGAAAGTTTCTCCTGTGGGTCGAAGGCCCGTATTGGCAGCAACATCGAAGAGTGTTGGGGTTAACATTCCACAAGGTAGGTGAAAGGTGTTATAAGTACTAACCAGAAGTACAGTGAAGCTGCTAACATTAGTTGAAAGTATTTAGGACCAAACTTCGACAGATGAATCAAGTCGAAGATTTCCAGGTTTTTCCATGTTTTTTATTTTGCTTTCTCTACCCTAGATAACCATCCAAGGTACTTCTTGTCTTCTTTCGATGGACCTAATCTAAAGGGTCTCAGAACTTCTGTAACAAAGTCTAGCTTAAAGGAGGATTTATTTTGTTCTTCGCCCTTTTGAGGAGTATTTTCCTGGGAAGTTGTATCATCTTCTACCCTAATGTTTTCAACAGATTTCTTACTAACCCTAGATTTACTAGCTATGGGTCTAGTCAAGTGGTAAACAGGAAAAAATCTCTTTAGTTTTGATATATCGGATACATTGATTATAGGACCTATATATCCTAAGGTATCAGAAGCAAGAGTGAAGGGAATTATTACCTGGGAAGTGTAGATGGCAATTTGTTCATTCCTCAGAGATGGTGTGGGAATAAATTCTTGATTTCCAATTATGATGGGTGTTTCTACTTCGAGTAAAGGATTGAAAGCAAAATCATCTGTGTGTTGTTTGCTCTTTCCAGACTTTGATATCTTCTGGGACGCCATTGACTGTGTTTTGAAGAAGAAGAAAGTTACAGAAAAGTTGTTGAACTTTAGAAGAAGGAGAGAGGACTTTTGATTTGGAAAAAGTGCAGAAGAGAAATAAAATAAATGGTGTTAAATTTATATGAAGGGAAATTGAATCGTTGTTAATGGAAAGAGGGAAGTTAAAATTTTAGTGGGACGCATGTAAAGAGATCCTTTTCTTGATGAAATGTTTTTGTGAGTTCCAAAGTTAACACTATTCATCATAGCTAATGATGAGATTTATAGATGCTCATACGGAGATTAGACGTGTGGGAGTCAAAAGTCATTATGATAATGATGTCATAATAAGTTGAAACGGTTGAGGAATTGTTCAGAAGGTCGAAATTTGAATAGATTACAAAAAATATACATTTTTGGTTTCGAAATGAATATTTCTTGGGGCAATTTGTTGGATGGAAATTTTGATTAAGTCAAAATTGAGCTGAGTCAATGGTACTGAATATACTTGGAAAATTGTTTGGTTATTTTATTTGTTGGAAACCATGAAGATTTGAATTCGAAATTGATGGATGGTTTATGAAATTCGAATTATGAAGTAAAGTATTATTCGAAGTAAGATATACTTCGAATGTTATCAGATTTTACGCTCAAGACGGATAATCGAAGGGTTTTTGAATTCGAATGTTCATTCTTATCCAGAAGGACGCGTGGAATATCTAGGACCATCGAAGACATGCTAGCGGAAACATGGTAGTAGTTCGTTAGGAGACCGTTAGGGTCGAAATTCTATAAATTGTAGCTTTTGTGTTTCAATTTAGTGTATTCACATCTTTGTACAAAATACTCAAATATACTCAAAGTACTAGTGTTAGAGAAACGAGTTAGCGAGAATGTACGTATGATACACCATATTTTACAATTAAATGTCATTTACATGCAATGAAGTTTCTTCATGTTATTTATGTTCTTTATAATTTCCAGTTTAGACTAGTTTCTATTTTATTACTTTCATAAAGAAGATCCACTTCGACATACGAAGTGTTTCCTTTCGTTTAAAGGATATTATCATAAAAAAAACATGTTTCCTAAATACTAGAACACAATAGTCCTGAGATCAATCTGATCGATCTCGCATGTAACTGAATTCGTTAAGGGATTTAGAGGATCAGCGGTTGTTTACCAAATTTCAGGGTAAACAGTAACTCAAACTGAACAAAAACTTTACATTAGAAATTCATATATAATTTTCAGGGTTAATACCTATTTTCACCCCTGACATATGGGGTGTATTTGAAAAACCCCCCTGCCAAAAAAAAAGTTCCAATTGTTACCTTGACAAATTTTAAAAGTTTCAGTTTTTACCTTGAGGATGCCACATCACCTAAAAGGCTGATGTGGCTTATATTTTTGTTACATTTGTAAGTTTTTGTTATGCCATGTCACACAATACCAAATAAAATGTCCAGAATGCCCTTTTCTTAAAATCCAAAATTATTTGGCAAATGTTATGTTTCAATTCAGACCCTCCAAATTAGGGCGCAGCCATCCATCTTCATTTGTTTGCAAAATTATTTTACAAAAAAAGCCAGTTTCAATTCAGACCCTGCGATTAGGGTTCTTCATCCTTGCAAATGGGTGTGTTTAATTTAGTGTTTCATCATGGGGGAAGTTTCGTGCAAGACGGCCATACGTATTATAGAGGAGGTAGTGAGACTACTGTTGAAGGTCAGGACGAAGATAAATGGAGCTTTTTTGAAGTTGTTAGTCTGGTTAAAGATTGGGGTTATGAAGGTTTTAGGCTATGGAGAAAGATTCCGCAAACAGATGAAGGGTTTACAAATGTTGTTGATGATGCAGGAGCTGTAGAAGTTGTTAAGCATTGTATGTCTTGTAGGGTTCACGGTGATCTTTGGGTAGAGCACGGTGTAGAAGACATGATGACCAAGGTTCTGGTACCTAATGTTGATGACTTCAGCACCTCTAGTGGAGATGATAGTACTGGTGACTATGTTGATACAAGCCAATGTTTCAATGACAGTGAAGAGGAAAGAGTAATTGACGTAGAAGAAGAGCAATTTGAACAAGTGGAGGTAGTTGTTCCAGTTAGTGGGAATAGGGTGGAGATCGAAGGGAAATCATTTAGATTCAAGCGTTGTGCATCCAAGGATCCCAAAAAGATGAAAGAAAAGAGCAAAAGGGACAAGGTCAGACTTTTGGTGCCCAAAAGTGTCTTAGGATCTTGTTCAAAGAGGGCTACAAGGAAATGTGAAGATGTGGATTATGCTAGTGAGGAACTTGAAAGTTCAGATGCTGATGAAAGTGACATGGATGACAAACCTTCCAAGCCAAAGTATGAGAAGTTCAGATCAGAGCTGCTTAACAAAGACTTTCAATTCAAATTAGGTATGGAGTTCATTTCTCTTTCTGAATTTAAAGATGCTATCAGGGATTGGTCAGTATTAAATGGTAGAGAAATAAGGTTTGTTAAGAATGAGAGCTGTAGGGTTAGGGTTGAGTGTAAGAGTAAATGTGGGTTTTTGGCATTGTGTAGCAAAGTGGGAGGTAGCCTCACTTACCAGATAAAGACTTGGGTGGGGACCCACACATGTGCAAGGGTATTAAATAACAAGTCTGCCAATTCAAAGTGGGTCTCTAAGTTAGTGGTTGAAAAGAGGAAGTCACAAGGGAAAGTTAAACTGTCTGAAATTATGTCTGAGCTTAGACAGAAATATTCAGTGGGCATTACCAAAGGGAAAGCTTGGAGAGCCAAAGCTATGGCTGAAGAAATAATTGAAGGTGATGCAAAGGAACAATATAACATGTTATGGAGATATGCAGCTGAGTTGAGAAAACATTGTGCTGGGAACACTGTCAAACTAAATACTGAGAGACCACATCCAACACTACCACTAAGATTTGGTAGATTTTACTTCTGTTTTGATGGATGCAAGAAAGGGTCTACCAAGGGTTGTAGACCATTTATAGGGGTAGATGGGTGTCATCTTAAGACACAATATGGAGGTCAGTTGTTAATTGTTGTAGCAAGGGACCCGAATGACCAATATTATCCTTTGGCATTTGGTGTGGTGGAGACTGAGACAAAAGAAAGCTGGAGATGGTTTATGCAATTGCTAATGGAAGACATTGGAGAAGAGAGAAAGTATGTTTTTATTTCATACCAACAAAAGGTACAAATATGCACTAATTACCTTTGTTATTCACATTTATGAAACATGCACTAATTCTGCACTAATATGCACTAATTTTGCTACTGTAGTATGTCTTAATTCTGGTACTGAAGTATGTATAATTCTGCACTAATATGCACTATTACCTTTGTGACATAGTTCTGGTTTATACAAAGTTCACTAATTCTGGTTTATACAAAGTGCACTAATTTCTGGTTTATTTCCCTATATGCACTACTTAATTCTGGTGCTAATGTTCAACATTTATCAGAACCTGCTGCTAATGTTACATGCCTTGTTCTGTTGCTAATGTTCAACATTTATGAGGAATATATAAGTTGCTAATGTACATGCTTTTTTCTGTTGTCTTGCTATTTTTAGGGACTTGTTAGTGTCTTTGAGGAAATGCATCAGCAAGTTGAACACAGGGTCTGCCTCAGACACCTGTATGCAAATTTCAAGAAGAAATTTGGAGGGGGAGCTGCCATTAGAGACCTGTTATTGGGGGCTGCAAAGGCTACTTATTTCAAAGAAGATATCAAGGAAGAAGAGGAAGGGCATTTATCAGTAGTTGTGCACATAGTGTGCTATTTTGTAAAATTCAATTTGAAAGTTTCCTGTGTCATTTTGTTACTTTGACTTATTATCATAACAGGCTTGGCTTAAGTTATGTATCATGTTATTGTCATTTTGTATCACAAATGTACTTGACTATGTATCACAACAGATTTGCTTGACAATGTTAAAGTCATTTTGTATCACAGATGTACTTGACTATGTATCACAACATATTTGCTTAACAATGTTAAAGTCATTTTGTACAACAGATTTGCTTGACTATGTATCACAACAGATTTGCTTAACAATGTTAAAGTCATTTTGTACAACAGATTTGCTTGACTATGTATCACAACAGATTGGCTTAACTATGTTATTGTCATTTTGTACAACAGATTTGCTTAAGAACAGAATTACTTAACAACAGATTTGCTTAACAACAGATTTTGTACAACAAAATTACTCAACAGAATTGCTTAAGAACAGATTTCCAAAATATCAGAACAGATTTCCAAAATATTCCAAAACAGTTTTACTTAACAATATATCAGAACAGACTTAAGCAAATATATTCCATAAGAAACCATAAGAAAGAAATATTTTTCATATTCCATAACTCAACTAACCAAAACTCATGAGAGTAATATATTCCATATTCCATAACAAAGAAATATAATTCATGAACTAAATTTTACATAGGTTACAACTTCCTAGAACATAAGCCACATCTTCATGAATTTTTACATGAACTAAGTAAGAAATGAACCAAAAGACAAATAAACCCAACTAAAACATAATTCAGCTTCTTTTTTAACTCATCCATTTTTTTCTCCATGGCTTCCATCTTCAGTGTGATATCTCTCTCCAGTTTGCTCATCAGTTCTACTGAAACTACATCTGAATGGCCGTTATCACCGAAATCATCAGAAAATTCATCATCCCAAACAAATGCGTCGCAGTCATCTCCTTTACCCCAGAACTTACACTTCCAGTATTTTCTCCTGGGATTTGCAACCGATTTTGAAACAAATAACTTCATGGAGACATTGTGGCCGCATTTGGGAGTTACTCTACCATTTAAAGATAAGCTTGAAGTAGAACAATTTGGTTGACTCATGTTTATGAAATCAAAGAAAACTTAAAGATGAAGAGGAAAGCAAAAGTTGGGTTGCTGAGATGAAGATGGTTGCGCCCTAATTTGGAGGGTCTGAATTGAAACATAGCATTTGCCAAATAATTTGGGATTTTAAGAAAAATGTAGAAAAGGCATTCTGGACATTTTATTTGGTATTGTGTGACATGGCATAACAAAAACTTACAAATGTAACAAAAATATAAGCCACGTCAGCCTTTTAGGTGATGTGGCATCATCAAGGTAAAAACTGAAACTTTTAAAATTTGTCAAGGTAACAATTGGAACTTTTTTTTTTGGCAGGGGGGTTTTTCAAATACACCCCATATGTCAGGGGTGAAAATAGGTATTAACCCTAATTTTCAATATCTTGTTACAATTATGTTGGATGCAGGGTGGGCCAAAAGGTACAACCAAAAAAGGAGGCACATCTAAGAAATTAAAGGATATTGCAGGAAATGGGCGTCAGACTACTGCAGGAAAAGGGCGTCAGACTACTGTAGGAAATGAGAGTCAGGCTACTGCAAGAAATGGGAGTCAGGCGAGTGCAAGAAATAGGAGTCAGGCTACTGCAGGAAATGAGGCAGGAAATGAGGCTCAAGCACTAACTGCAAGAAATATGAGTCATACTACTCAAGCTGAAGAAAACCCTGCACCAACTGATGTGACACCTACTCAACCTGGGGTACACCTTTCATAAAATTCTGTTACCTCATCTGAGGCAATGAGAATGTATTGTGGTATAGATTTTGATGAATTAGAAGCATTGTTGAATCATGATGACATACTAGATATTCCACCATTAAGAATTGATACTAGTCCTGCAAAGAATAATATGCCTGGTCCCAAAACCTTTATTGGTAAATGTCCTAAGGTATCAAAACCTGCTAAACCTGTTGTTAACCCAACTATGAGTGACCCTGTAAGTTTGTAACTTGTTCTGATAGACTTATTTGTCATGTTCTATTTTTTTACCTTGATAACACTATGTTTTTAGAACAGGTGAAAATCATGATATCACCAAGGAAAAAGTCAAAGAATGTTGCATCTCCAATTAGAAAGAGTGTCAGACTTAGGACTTTGAAGAGAAATAATATGGAGGGACCTGGAAGGTATCCAAGTGATCCATTTGTAATACTTGAAGAAGCCTTAACTATTCGCAGTTCTAGGGAAAAGAAGAAATGGGATGACATCCAGAAGAGCATGACCCAGTGACAACTCAAGAGTGACACAAATATGTTTTGGTTGAACCTTATGTCTTGTGAACCTAGTGTTTTGTTATGTACTATGAAACAAATGTATGTTGTATATGAACCAAGTGTCTTCCTATGCACTTTGTAATGTGCTTTTCTATGCACTTTGTAATGTGTTTTGTTATGTACTTTGAACCTTTAATGTATTTTGTACTCATGTCACAATATGTTCTTTGTTATGAACTTTGAACCTTTAATGTATTTTGTACTCATGTCACAGTATGTGATTTGTAATGTGCTTTGTTATTCACTTATGTCTCAGTATTATTTTGTACTCATGTCTCAGAATGTGTTTTGTTATGCACTTAACAGTCAAATTACATGCTTTTTATACCAAATATTGCAAATTAGGTTAACTTAATCATAACAAACAATATTGATAACAACTTAGCACCTATGTTGTACCCCAAAATTTGCCCCCCCATATTCTCCAAGAAATTGCCAAGCCAAGTCACAAAATTCCCCAAGGGTTGTGCAGCTCAACTGTCTCCTATACAGTCAAAACTAGGGTTTGGATTCTGATCAAGAAAATGAAGTTTTCAAAGGCCCAATCAAGTCTCATATGCTTACAAAGATGGACAAGTATCTTCATATCAAGTTTCAAGGCATTCAGCTCAAAATTGCACAGTCAAAACCCTAAATTGCATTACAGTCAATTGTAGGGGCAAAATGGTCATTTGGCAGTCAAAAGTTCAAATTTTTGGTCAACACATCATTTTGAAGCCACAAACATCATTTGATCAATGCTTGATCATGATTCTCAAAATTTGGCTCAGAAAATCATCAAGATGCAAAAGTTACTATATTTGGACAGCTGAAAAAGTCAACTGAAATTGACCAGGGCATAACTTTCACATGGATTATCAGAAAAATTTCATCCAAAGATCATTTTGAAGAGAAAGACATTTCCTACAACTCATCTTCATACTTCAAGTCCAAGAAATGCTCTCACAAAAAGTTATCAATTTCAACATTATAGGTCATTTTCAAAAGTCAACAAAAAGGGACTTTAAGTCAAAGGCCATAACTTGAGATTGGTAAATCAAAATGACATGGGACCAAAGGCATTGGTTAAAGGACTCAAAGACCTTTCCAAAATGTCCAAGAACATGTGAAAAGCTTAAAAATTGAGCAAGTTATGCCTTGTGGAAGTTGGGAAATTTTTGGGAATTTTGAAAAGTCAACAATGGTTCAAATGACCTAAATTTGCTAATGGGCCCATTTTTCTTCCATGATTCATCATTCCAAGCCTATGCACGACCACTTGGCCCAAAGGGAAGTATTTTCTCATTTTTTATTTATTTATTTGAATTATTATTTATATTAATTCATTTAAATCATTTAAATACATGAAAATATCAAACTTGACCTAAAAAATCTTTTCATGCATGTTTTACTCTCAATATCACGTGCACATCCTAATTAGGCAAGTTTTGGTTTGATTTGAGCTGATTGAACAAAATTGCACATGAAAAAAGATTCAAAAAAGATCTTACAAAATCAAATATGCAAATCATTGAATGCCATGGATTTTATGCAATTTTCTTAACCAAAAAGCTTCACTACATATGCCTAAACCTAAACCTAATCTTTGGAGACAAAAAGCTGCGCCCAAGAACACTTTGCAAACTTGAATTTTTTTCCATCAAACACAAAACTGATTTCAAGGTTACAAGAGGATTCAAAGCCTAATTCCTTTTCCAATAGCTTCCTTGGCAATTCCTGAACGCATTCCAACTCCAAACATCCATCAATACGCAAAGAATTGGTAATAAGGACTTCTCCTGTACAAGGAAAAAGTCACCATCGTGTTTTCCATTCTAGGCATCCTCATTGCATTTCAATTATATATTCTTGCTCCTTGTGATGTTTCAAAGCTAACCATTATATTCAATTTGATTTTTGTATCGTATATGGGATTTCACCATGTTTGAGATTCTAGGGTTTGCAGGTTTTAAAATTGGGGTTTCCCAAACCAAGTGAAATTAGGACTCAGGGCCATGACCATTGCAATCAGCATACTCCAACGAACAAGAAGCCTTAGTCGCGATCAATTTATATACACTATAGCGCTAATCGCTATTTTTCCAAAGGCAGCCTAACACCACACCTGGAAAACCGTTGCCTTCGTTTTTCATGTTTCAGGGAATGGAGACGATGATGCCATGTCAAGCGAGGATTGGTTAATTCAAAAGCTCGCGCCAAAATTCCACTAATGCGTTACTTTCTCTTTTTAATATTTGTTTGTATATTATATATCAAATTGGTTAAGTGGCTCAGCTGGCAAGTTATCAACGCATTGATGTCCAAGACCTGGGTTCGAACCCCAGGTCTGTGTAACTTTTCAATATTGTTTTTCCACATTCATTCCTATGCAGGCACGCCTTTGTGGATCACCATACGTTCACCATCTCAAGCATACACGCGTCCATCCAATCCAGATCAAAGGCATGGATTCAAGGAGTACCATGAACCATAGTCAACGCATCATATATGATTGAGAAAGTCCAACGAGACCAAGGTTTAATGGGCCAGTTTGCTAAGGCCTTACCTCCATCTGGGGCCTGAACCCCCCCCCCTGGTTTGCTTTCATTATCTTTTTTTTTCTTATTTCTTGTTTTAATTTTAATTTTTATTTTAATTACTGTTTATTTAATTAATTATTTTACAAAATATAAAAACATCAAAAAAAATCA